TGTCAGCATTCCTGCTCCTCTGATGCTGCTTGGCCTGCTGTGTTCATCCAGCTCTACACCTTGTTATCTGCAAATCAAAGAAAATGTGATTAACATGCCACTCATGGAAACAAAAAAGTGAACAAGCAAATTACCCAGCACTTTTAAGGAAGAGTCACGGAACTCAAAACATTAATTCTGCTTTCTCCCTGCAAATGTCACCTGACCTGCTGAGTTTATTCAGCTATTCCTGCTTTTGGTACAGATTTCCAGCATCTGAAGTTCTTTGTTTAATTTTATTTCCTCTGAGAGCCTCCATTTCTTGGCCGGTTGTGTATAACTTCAGCTATTTCTGCTGTGTGAGTCACTTTCGATGATATAGATGAGATGAAACAGAATGAGACACAGAGCACTTAGTTTTATTTCCATGTGTGTGCTTCGTATCCATATTAGAAGAGGTTGACCAGCCACCTACTACTGAAAGAGAAAAACAGCTGCTAAATTTTAGGCTTTTAGTAAAGCTAACATTAACAGCATGAGACAAAGATTGATGACAGTAAACTGGGGAAATTTGTTGCAACTGAACAGTAGAGATGGTTGTCAAAGAATTTATATATCTAGAACCAGTAGATGGCCCTATGGGACAGGAGCTTCGTTTGCCAAATAAAGCAACCATGCTTGACAAAGGATATGAGCAATAGCTGAAATTAAGGTTTGGAGCATGCAAAATCCAGGGAGAGATAGAATATCAAGAAGACTGTAAAGTCTTTAAAAATAAGTTAAAAAATGGTCTGCCCAGATTGACATCAGATTTTCTCATGATTTTGGAAATATAAAAAAAAGGTCATTCATAAGAAGTTGGAATCACAAGGTGAGACTGCTCAGGTATTGTCCCTGTTGAAAATTAAAAATCTAACTGTTGTTTAAGATGGGCGAGAGAGAAAGAGGAAGAAATTAATTAAGAAATTATTAATCTGTTCAGCTAACATCTGTTGTGGGGAAGTTATTGAAATCTATAATTAAAAACAGAATGGAAACACAATTAGAGAAACTTGAACTGATCAGACAGCATCCTGTCTAGCAGACCTAATTAAAATATTGAATAAGAAACTAAGGTAGTGGACAAGGGAATGTCTAATAATGCAGTCCGCATGAACTTCCAAAAGGCATTTGTTAAGGTACCAAATAAAAGACTATTAGCTAAAATTAAATCACATGAAAATCGAGAAGATAAGATGAATTTCACCTCTTAGAGGGTCATTAACCTTTGGAATTATCTAACAATGGAGACTAAATCACTGAAAATATTCAAGGCTAAAGCAGATAGATATTTTGGTTCACAACAGAGTCAATGACTACTGGAGACAGACAGGAAAATGAAGTTAAGGTCACAATTAGACAATCAGCTCAACTACCATCTTATTGAATGGTAGACTGGCTTGAGGGAATAAATAACCTCCTCCCGCTCTTATTTCTTGTATTTGTATATAGGATAAATCATTGTTGAGAGATTGGCTAAATAGTAGAAGACAGAGGGTGGTGGGAATCTGGAATGCCCTGCTTGGAGGGTAATTGAGCTGGAAAACTTCACAGAGTCCTTGAATGAGCACTTGAAATGTCATAACATTCAATGCTATTGGCAATGTGCTGTAACGTGAGACACGAGTGGATTTAGAATATTGCTTTCTCAGTGCAGACTCATGGGCCAAAGAACCTCTTCTGTAATTTATGATTTGATGATTCTAACTCAGTGGAGAGCTATATGTCTAACTTTGCCAATGATTGGTGTTAAGATAATAATGTACAAGGGAGCATTAAATTATACAAAGACTTTAAGAGTTTAAGCAAGTGGGCAATTAACTGACATGTAAATATCAATGGAGGTGACTATAAGGCCATCAACTTCGGATCAAATCAAATGGATCCCAAAAATAATTAGATTGTAAACAACCACAGACATTTTATGATTCACGTTCAAAGGTGACTAAAATGCACTTCTTCAGTCAAATGTTAACTCTTATATTTGGAGTTTGAACATAAGGGAGGAGAAAGTTTTGCTAGACCTATACAAAGTCCTCTGGAGGTCATATTTGTTTACCAGTCCGTAGATTCCGTATATCCAAGGCCATCAATGTGAATTGACCAGAAAGTTGCCAGGGTTTGAGGGGAGGGGTTTAATGAGCCAGGTTTACTTTAACCAAGAACATAGAAGATTGAGAGACAGAGACCAAAAAATTATTCTTTTCAAGGCTGCTCTTGAGATTTTCTTAAGTGTTACTTTTTCACATTTGGGGCTACACATTGGGTTTTGGAGGCTACTTTTTAAATCTCACTAACTCATTTATCAGGCAATGTAGTCACATAGTAACAAACCTTCTGTATTTGTTTTGACATAAGAAGTGTGTGGACACTTACAGAAACAGAATTAGAATAATTACTTATTATCCTGAATAATAATTAATCTCCTTTAAACTTTATACCATGACACATCATGCAAGCATTAATGAGACTGCATTCTGTGTTGTATGAAGGGAGAGAAGGTTACCATCTCACCTTGATAAGGATGAAAGGGATCCTAGTATCCTTACAACACACAGATGGTTAAGGTATTGCAATCTACTTGGTGACATTGAACCATGTTTTTAAACAGGGATTTGATGGCCTAGTGGTATTATTGCTGGACTCTTAATCCTGAGACCCGGGTAACATTCTGGGGACCTAGGAATGAGCTTTGTCATGGCAGATGGTGGAATTTGAAATCAACAAAAGCTGGAATTAGAAGTCTAATGATGACTGTGAAACCATTGTCAATTGTTGGAAAAATCCCATCTGGTTCCCTAATGTCCTTTAGGAAAGGAAATCTAACATCCATACCTGATCTGGCCTACATATGACTCCAGACCCACAGCAATGTGGTTGACTCTTTACTGCCCTCTGGGCAATTAGGGATGTGCAATAAATGCTGGCCTAGCCAGCAATGCCCTCATCCTGTGAATGAATAGTGAAAAAAAGTGGTTACTATGTAGATATTACAGTATTGAGATTGGCATAAAACAACCATAAGTTAGCAACAACAGTTTATTTTTTTCAAAATAACAACACACACTTCTACATGTAAATAGTCATCACCCTGAACATACCTTCTTCAGAGTGCTGAGATCACAGTGCATGCATTTCCATTGCATATCTACAAAGTACACTAACCAGGCAGCTACTAGCCTTTTTATTGCATAAAATATCTCAGTCTCAGATTGAAATGTAACAATTAACATGGTTTTCAATGCATTAGGATCCAAGTATCCATTTTATCCAAGTCCAGTAGCAGCTGAACTTAAACAACTTAAATGAGAGATTCCACATTCATTTGCGAGGAATTCGTTATCTCGGTGCTTTAACTTCCCTTGAATCTCAGTTAGCTGAGTGTTCCTTTCTTGACAGGTTATCAAATCTTCTGTCTCACTCTCCCCTGCATACATCTTGTAGCCCCTCCTCCCTGTCAATCCTCTTTCAACTGCCTTCTTCCCTCCCCAAAACCCCAGCACAGATCCAGCAGATGGAATTGGCAGTCTTAGCATAATGCTCCACTCCCAGCCTCATAAAGAGTGATCCTGATCCTGGCTTTGACTAAAGGCAGCCCCAATGATCCCTTTACTGCTATCACTTGTTTTCCTAACTGTTTGTTGCACCTCCATTCAAAAGTTGTTTCTCCCCTGCCAGGTGAAGGAGGGCGGTGGTGGATAGAGACTGTGTAGGATTCTTTTCAAGAAACAAGCAAACAGCCTTCAGATTGGAGTAGTTTCCATTTCCTACAATTGTGTTTGTGAGGATGACTTTTGTCTGATTGGTTACCTCCATTGGGAGATTTTCCAGGAAGATGTGGGCATGTACACATGTATATTTGTTGCCTGGTCCATGTATTTTGAATGCTGTTTAGAGGTGATTTGATTGAGACTTTAGGGCTTTGAAATGCATTGATTGGTTAGAAACAGAATTATTTATCATGTGTGCAAAAGTTTAGAACAAGAGTACAAGACCTTAAAATCAGAGCCAGATAGTTCAGGAAAGAAGTTAGGAAATTCTGCTTCATAATAGCAGGCAAAATATGGAGCCCTTTTCCAATGAAAGCAAGATCAAATAATAATTTTAGAACTGATGAGAATAGTTGTTTGTTAGACAAGAATCTAAAAGGATATGGGACCAGAGCAGAATGATAAAGGCCAGATCCAGATGAGTTGTTAGAAGACAGAACAACTTCAATGGACTGATGGGTCTCCTTTTCTCTCCAAGCTCATGTTAGATGACCTAGAACCATCCAGGATGGAGAGTATTTTTCTTTTGCTGTATGTCAAGCTTTTGTTTTTACCAACAGATTCAAGAACAGCTTCTTCCCTGCTGTTATTAGACTTCTGAATGGACCTCTCAAATTTTAAATTTGATGTTGATCTCGATCTTTGTGCACCTTCTCTGCAGCTGTAACATTGTATTCCTCAATCTTTTCTATTACCCTAATGCACTCTGTATGGTATGATCTGCCTGTACTGCATGCAAAACAAAACTTTTTCCTGTACCTAGGTACATGTGACAATAATAAATCAAATCAAAACTTACTCAGGACATAACATTTTACTTCTGAAGAAAAGTCATTTCAGACTTGAAACGTTAACACTGTTTCTCCCTCCTCAGAGACTGTGAACTGCTGAGTTTCTTCAGCATTTTCTGTTTTTATTTCAGATTTCCAGCATCTGCACTATTTTGCTTCCATTTCCCTGAACCAGTGAGTTCAATCAGAAACAAAGGTTTCTACTGCTCCTTTCAGGGAAATTTCATATCATTTGTTCCCAGACAATAGTTAACAACCCTGTAGAATTGTCCCTTAGACCCCAAGAATAAAAACAAATTATTTTCCTGGACATTGCTGTGAGCCAAAGAGCCAAGAAAATCATGGAAACTCAGAAGGAAAACCAGTAAAAAATTGTGAATGATGCATACTAGTCTGACTTGTCTTGTATACATCAGGCAAGTGCTCTAGTATGACCAATATGTCCATTTCCAATTATTACTGTTTTTAACTGTTATTTTTTTTCCCTCTGCTAAACTGATTTCCTTTTTGAGTAATTCATTATAAATCTGTTGAATATCAGGGAGAAACGGTGTTTTGAGGAAAGGGATTTATGTCTTAAACCCTCCAGGAAATGACCGGCTAGAGTTGGAAAGCTTCAATCTCAGGAGCAGGCCTGCAAAAACAAAATGGTGGATCTGCATCTTTCAGAATGCAGTGCACTTGGTGTGGTCTGTCAAGTGAGTATCTTACTCATGAGAAACTTAATTGACATGGTCCACATCCAGATGAATCAAATTTTCTTCAAGTCCTTCAGTTATAAAGCAAGAGCTCTTATAGCACAATGGTAGTGTCATTAGCTTTGAGCCAGGAAAGCCCAGGTTCAAAACCCACCTGTTCTAGAAGTATGTAATAAGATTTCTGAGCAAGTTGATTAGAAAGTAGGTTCTCTATAAAGCAGCCCATCAACAGCTTCTGAAGTATCAAATCAGCAATGCTTTAACTAGTTAAATGCTGTCTTGCATTCCAATTAATGAATTTGTGTGACATTCAGGTAGTGATAGCAGAACATTTGGAAAATCATGGTCTAATCAAGCAGCATCAGCATGGCTTCATGAAAGGGAAATTATGTCTGACTAATTTATTACAGTTTTTCAAGGAAGTCTCAACTAGACTATTAATCTGACAAAGGAAATTGAAGTTGATAAGTTATGTTGATACTGCAACTTCTAATGCATCACATGTGTTTGTGACTAGAGTTGAACCAGGATTTTACATACAAGTGAGTTTCACTGACTTCAAAATCGAATCAAGCATTGACTACCTCTACCTGTACCAAGGAACAGGATCCAGTAAAGAATTAATTGGTATGTAACCAATTGATTTTTGCATTCAATTTATATTCTTTTTCTTTGCGAACTGAAGGTGAGGGGCATTAATGCTGGAGTATGAAAGTTTATCCCAAACCACCAGGTTATGATCAGTGATGCACAAGTCATTTTCTCTTCAACTACAACCCACTGCCATTTGAACGGGACCATTTATTTAGGTGGTTGAGGTTCCTGCACGCCACAGTCAATAGACATCATGGGACTCCAATGCTAATATGGACTGTATAAAGAAACAGAAGGTGCTGGGTAAACTCAGCAGATCTGGCAGCATCTGTGGAAAGTGAAGCAGATTTAATGCCTTGAGTTCAATAGGACTTCTTCAGAACTGAAGGGGGTTAGATAATAATAGTTTTGTGTTGATAAAATGGCAAGGTGAACAAGTGGAACAGATGGTGAGAGCACCCAGACCAAAAGTCAATAAGAAGGCTAATGGTAAGAGTGTTTGTCAGTCACATTTAGCTGAAGGTGGCAGAAATGGCAGGGGACAATCCTTTGAATGCTAAGGCTGGTGGGATATAAAGTGAGGACAAAAGGGAACCCTGTTGATGTCCTGCGAAAGGGTGAAGACAGAAGTGCAGGTAATGACTTGGACATGACTGATGGTCCTGACGCCCACAGCGAAACAGGGAATTCTTGGTTGAAGAAAACAGAGGATATGTCATTTTCTGAAGAAGGGTCCCAAACCGAAACGTCAACATTCCTGCTCCTCTGATGTTGCCTGGCCCGCTGTGCTCCTCCAGCTCCACACTGAGTTATCTTTGACTCCAGCACCAGCAGTTCTTACTAACCCCATGGTCGGTGGCATCTTTGGAACAGATGAGATGGAGACAGAGAAACTGGGAGAATGGAGTGGAATCCTTTCAGAAAAAAGGTGTAATCAAGGTAACTGTGGGAGTTGTTGCATTTGTAGTGGAGAGTCTATCTCCAGAAATAAAAACAGAAGTTGAAGAAGGGAAGAGATGGACCAGGTGAAAATGAGAGAAAGATGGAAATTGGAAACAAAATTAACTAACTTGAGAATAGAAAAAAGCTTTGACAATGTGACAAATATACCAGAGAAAGAGTTATGGTTGTGGGGAAGTGTAAGACTAGAACAGGGAATGTGCCACATACCCCACAGGGAGACAGACATAAGCGGGAGCCATGCAGGAAATCACAATGGCACCTTTGACTTGGAAAAAGTGAGATGAGTTAAAGGAGAAGCTGATCAAAGTGAGAATAAGTCCAGGTGAAGGAGGATGGTGGTGAATGGAGACAGTGCAGACCTCTATTAAAACAAAGAAACAAAGAGACAAATCTGATGGGGCAGCTGGAAGTGTAGAAGAATTGCACATCCATGATGAACAGGAGGCAGCATGGAGCCAGGACATTGGGAATTGTGGGATTTGTAAAATGTCAGAAGAATCATGAATATAAATAGAGTCATATTGTCATTGAGTCATACAGAATGAAAACAGAGCCTTTAGTCCAATTAGTCCACGCTGACCATGTTCATAAACTAAACTAGTCCCACCTGCCTGCGTTTGTCCTATATCCCTCAAAACTTTTCCTATTCATGTACTTATCCAAATGTTTTTTAAATGTTGTAACTGTACAGGCATCCATCACTACTTCTGACTGTACTTTTGACACATAGTCCTCTCTCTGCGTAAAAAAGTTGCCCCTCTTATCCTTTTTAAACCATTCTCCTCTCACCT